TGAATGAATGAATGTGTGTGTGTGTGTGTGTGTGTGTGTGTGAAGAAAATGTTAAAGAAATACAAATGCTGAACAAAACTGATTCATCGAAATGACAGCGAGTTAAACTTAATCTTCGAAAGATGCATTTTTTCTGTCTGCACTTCTGGCAACAGCTTTGAAGCTAAGAAGGTAAAAAGAATAAATTCTTTAAAAAATATCGGAATAATGACTGAAAAGGGAAGAAAGAATAAATTTTAAAATGGGATAAAAATAAACCACTGATGTCAAATCTTGTAAAGTGATATATCTATTTTGGAAACAGCTTTTCTATAAGTCGCTTGAATTCTAAATCTATGCAGTGTAATTGTGAAGCCTTAGAAAAAACAGCCCCAGTATATTAGAAAAAAAAAGTTATGAAAAAATAATGAATAAAAAAAAAAATGTCTTAAATATTATAAAAAGGATTGTGTGGATAGGGAAAGAGTAAAAGTGTGATCTAATGAGAGAGAGAGAAGTTCTGCAATGAGAAAGATAAAGTGAGATAACAATTTCAATGTTAAAAGTAGAAAGAATTAAAGAGAGGGAGACGAAAGTGGGAGAGAGACGAAGAGAGGGAGACGAAAGTGGGAGAGAGACGAAGAGAGGGAGACGAAAGTGGGAGAGAGACGAAGAGAGGGAGACGAAAGTGGGAGAGAGACGAAGAGAGGGGAGACGAAAAAGTCTTCTAGAGAGAAGAAGAGGAGACGAAAGGTTTTTGAGAGACGAAGAGAGGACGACGAAAAATCGAGAGATGAATGAGAGGGGAGACAGACTTCAGATAACGAAGAGAGAGGAGACGAAAGTGGGAGAGAGATAAGAGAAACTCTTTACTCTAAGTGGGAGAGATAGAAGAGAGGGAGACGAAAGTTACAAAGACGAAGAGAGGGAGACGAAAGGGAGAGAGACGAAGAGAGGGAGATAAATAGAGAGAGACGAAGAGAGGGAGACGAAAATGGAGAGATATGAAGAGAGAGGGGAGACGAAATCGGGAGAGAGACGAAAGAGGGAGACGAAAGTGGAGAGAGACGAAAAAGGGGAGACGAAAGGGACGAGAGAGAGACGAAGAGAGGGAGATTAAAGGTGGACATAGACGAAAAGATTCGGAGACGAAAGTGATGAGAGACGAAGAGGAGGAAATGTAGTCGATAGAGACGAAAGAGGGAGACGAAAGCAAAGTTAAAAGTGGGAGACACAAAGGTCAGAAGAGAGACGAAAGTGGAGACTGAAAGTTGAAGAGATACGAAAGTGGAGACGAAAGTCGAAGAGATTCTAAAAAACATTACGAAAGTCTTCAGAGATCGAAAGAAAAAGAGAGAAGAATTCAGAGAGAGAAGAGAGACGAAGAGAGACGAAAAGGAGAGAGATTTTTCAATCCAAAGTAGGAAGAGAGACGAAGAGAGACAAAAATTCTGAGAGACAAAGAGAGACGAAATTTATTTTCCCCAAGAGGGGAAGACGAAATTTAACGAAGAGACGGAGAGAGAGACGAAGAAGGGAGACGAAAGTGGGAGATGGAGAGCACGAGACAATTTTATGAGACTTTCTAATTTTTTAAGAGAGGAGAGCTTTCAGATGAGAATTTTTGAATGAGAGGAGAGAGAGAGCATGAGACGAAAAGTCAGAGAGAGAGAGCATGAGACGAAAAGTCAGAGAGAGAGAGCATGAGATGAAAAGTCAGAGAGAGAGAGCATGAGACGAAAAGTCAGAGAGAGAGAGCATGAGACGAAAAGTCAGAGAAAAAGTGGATGAGACAAAAAGTCAGAGAAAAAGAGGATGAGACAAAAAGTCAGAGAAAAAGAGGATGAGACAAAAAGTCAGAGAAAAAGAGGATGAGACAAAAAGTCAGAGAAAAAGAGGATGAGACAAAAAGTGAGAGAGAAAGAGGATGAGACAAAAAGTCAGAGAGAAAGAGAGTGAGCAGGATATGAAGAAACAGAAGGGTAGATGAAAAGAATGAGAGGAATAGGTGAAAAGAAAGAAAAATCTTAGAAAAAAAAAGGAATAAAAAGAGAAAGAAAATAAGATTATGAAAGTGAAGGAATGTAAGAAATAGAAAGAAAGGGTAAACACTTGATATACAATGTGTAAAGAATTAGGAGTTTGAAGAGAGGAGAATGAAAGAAAAAAACAATTAAAATATTTAAAAGTAAATAATTATAAAAAAAGTAAAATTGATGGTAGGAAGTTAAAAGCAAAAGAGATATCGATAGGAAATATATTAAAGAAAATACAAGGTGAGAGAGTAAAAAATGAAAAGAAATAAACCAAAAGAAAAGAGAAATAAAAAAAGTCCAAGAAAGTTTGAAGGATAAAAAAATTAAAGAAATTACAGAGAAAAAGACAAAAGAAAGAGTAAAAAAAGCAAGGGAAAAATAAAATATATTTATAAAATACGTATAATATCAAATAAGCAAGAGTTTGTTCAAAAGCAATAGAGAAAATAAAAAAAGCTTTAGAATCAATTTGTGTGTGTGTGTGTAAAACATCTCAGTTTAAAAGAAATAAAATCCAATTTTGTTGTAGAGACACCATATGAAAAATTTGGCATAAAGTTAACATTGCAAATTTAAAGAAAGAACAAAAAAAAATAAGAGGAGATTAAAACGAAAAATATTCTAATCCTCAGGGGTATTAATTGTTTGATGTGGATGACATAATCCTTTCTAAGTTATCCTTCATGAGCGATTCCATCTCAGTGTTATCTTGAATATAAAAATCAAGGTTTTTGGAATTCTTAAAACTCAGCCACACCTTCCCTCATTCCACAAGAGACCACTGTCGTCATCAGGGGATGGGGATTTAGGGTAAGGAGATCTCTTTTGCATTGCTCCTAACAAAAGATGAGGTTATGAAGATCAGATGATCATTTGGGGAAATAAAAAGATGTAGATAAGCATCATCAGATTACAAGCATCACAATGTTTGTTAAATTGTACAGAGTCGCAAGAGGCCTTACAGGGTGAAAGACACTTGATTACAATTTATGATAATATTTTGGAATGTTAGGTTTTTTTTGCTTTGCTTGTGTGTGTGTGTGTGTGTGTGTGTGTTGTGTGAGTGAGAGAGTCTGCCATGGAAAATTTATTGATTTGACAAAATTTGTTGAATTCGTAAAAAGGATTATCAAAAGGATTAAAGTAAAATCTCTAATCAATAAGATTATCCATCTTGTTTCATACTGTATTCTTACTTACACACATTTTTTTTATTTTTGATTGTATCTTCCAGAATTATCTATACTTTAGTCAGATTTTAATACACACATGTTATATATATATATATATATATATATATATATATATATATATATATATATATATATATATATGGTTATTCAAAAAGAATGAACTGATTTCATGACACATTGCTTTAGTTCTCTAGCATCGTAATGGAATGAGTCAGTGACCATTTGAAAGAGGAGTTTTCCAAGTTTTGAATGGCTGCCACAAGGGCACTGTAATCACGTTGTATCTCTGGCAATGTTCAGTTGCTTGTTTACCCCCAGAATGGAGAGTCCTCAGCAAAAGGCATTCTGCATTTTTGAGTTTGCAAAAACAAATATGGTTTTCATCATGCAGTGTGCTTTTCAAAGGCAATTCAATATTAATCTGCCCTCTCTTAAGAACATTCAATGGTGGTTTAAACAGTTTCAAGAGTGCCAGTGTCTGTGTAAAGGAAAAAGACCAGGAGGACCATGAGTTTCAGAGGAACAGGTGGCAAGAATCCATGCTGCATCTGAGGGTAGCCTATGGAAGTTCACAAATTGAGCTAGCCATGAGCTTGCAATCTCTCAATCCACGATCTATCATGTGCTAAAAATACATCTACATCTGAAACCTTACAGACTATGCCTCGTTCAGGCACTTACCAAGACCTTGCTCTTTGTGCTTGGCCTGCATGATCCTCAGACCTCATCATACGTGATTTTTATCTTGTGGGCATACATAAAAGAAATTTGTTTATGTCCCACTGCTACCCACTAACCTTGATGAACTTAAACATCAAATAACAACAGTGATCAACTCAGTGGATCATGATATGAGGATACATGTATAAGAGGAATTTTCTTAACGCATTGATGTTACCTGTGCTGCAGGTGGTGGCCACATGGAACACTTGTAAAACAGGAAATAAAAGTTGATTATCAGTAGAGTACTTGTGACTTGGCTGGAGTTTTTGATTGCTTTTCCTTATTAAAATGTTGTGTAATGAAATCAGTTACCTTTTTTTTGCTTAACCCCATATATATATATATAGGTAGATAGACACACACGTAATCCGTTAGTATAATCCAACCAAGTCCTATTGACACAATATAGAATTTGAAATATTAAAATTGACTCACAAAGAGTGCTCAATGTTTATTTTCATTAAACAGAGCAAAATCTTTCTTACAATTGAAATTAAGATACCATTGGTTAGTGACCATTTTCACCTATGAATTTTAAATTTAATATTCACAGGATTTTTCAAACTGTTTATGGTGTCAGTTTGTAGAAGGATATATAAGTAAATATACCATGTGAATTTCAGCTTTTACCATTTGATTTATTAAAAATATTTAGAATATCTTAGTTATTTGACATTTTAATATACAACTTGTGGTTTGTCCATCACATTGTAACTAAAATATTTATTTTAATTTCAAATATACTAATAAATAAAAGTAAAACTGAATGCTCAATTATCTTATATATATATATATATAGATTGATGCATGTTTCATTAAATAATATAGACAAGTTTTGTCTATTTATTTTAAGTAAGTTTCTTTCATATTGTCTGATAAGCTTAATAACATTATCATTGAAGGACGAAAGGAAATCACCATATTGATACATGTTTAAATCCAATCTAAGCTTTTGGCTTACATAAAATTTATTATCAAAGATGACAATTAATTTTCAATATATCAACCAATACACGGACAAAACAATAATGATAGTCTGTTTTTGTTGCATGAAAAATTTCAAAGCAACGACTAACTCGTGTATATGAGATGTGGAAGCGAAAATTGCGCTGCAGCTCGTGACGTCACACATGACCACGCGAGAGTGAAAACTAGAAGTATTAAGTATGGGGAAGCCATTGGTATAAAACCAATGGCTTCTGTTATCAATTATAGGCATTTAAGAATATTTGTGGAGATTTCATAGTTTATTTTGTTCAGGTTAGGTTTCAAATGTTTTATGTATATAGCTTCAAGAATTTTAGTTTTTGTTTATTGTTTTCATGTTTAAAATAGTTGTGTTTTCAACAAGGATTTTCCAGAATTGTGTACGCAAAAAGGCATGTTGTTTTAAATACCTAAAAAATGTTATAGTTATCATTCAAATGTAGAGTCAAGCATTTAAATTGGTAAAGATCAAAAAACTTTTATTTCACGATGAAAGTGAAATGGATATATAAATAAACAATAATCAAATCATTTTTAATATATTTTTCATTTTTTTTTTTTTTTTTTTTTCATATATATATATATATATAACATATATATATAATATATATATATATATATATATATATATATATATATAATATAATAAAAAAGCCTTTTTCTAAATCTCAAAATAACTTTTGAATCTTGTTTTTTTACGGATACGAGCAAATTTCAAAATCCTATTTAATATATATATATAACATATTGGAAAATATGTTTAAAAAAAAAATTTACCTTTTTTTTGTTTTGTAAATTCTTTATTACATGTGTGTTATTTGCCCATGTATTACAAAATGTATTACAATAGAAACACATGAAAATAAAAAAAGTACATTTATATCGTTTTAAAAAACACTATTGCCAACATTTTTCTATAAAACTTTTATAAAATAATGAAATAACACCAGAGACAAACAGCAAAGTCATAAGGATTGAGGAATAATTGACTTTCAAAGATCTTGTTAAAGGGTCAAGTATAATTTAAACCAAGAAAAAAAAGGTCAAATTCAAAAAAACATCTTTGATAACCAAATTAAAATTTATTAGTTACATCTTTTGAATGAAGAATAAAAAATATCACTGGTTAACAGTAACAAATTGGAAAGGCTTTGATAAGAAATCTACTGCAATTTGATTGTATATAGCAAGAAAATTTAATGTAAACATTTTATATGAAGGGACACTGAATAGTTTGGGGGTCAAACAAGTTTCCCCAATATCTGGCTAAATGACCAAACACTGGAAGGGTTTTTTTTTGTAAGAGCCCTTTGGGTTGAAAATTTTCATGAGATGAAAGTAATTAAAAAAAAAAAAAAAAATTAAATGTCATGTTCATTCAAGATGTTGACAATTATGACTCTCCACATTCTTTTCTTTATTTTCTGGGAATTGCTAAGAAAAAGACTAAAGAGGTTTACCCTGCTATTTAACCCAAAGTGATAAGAGACAGATTAACACCATTACCAAGGGCATTTGCATGAAAGTAAATGTAACAAACTTGCCTAGAATTTGAATATGACTAACCAATACCATTTTCTATCATAACCATTACACTACCTGCACAGCCCAAAATCAAGTAACAAAGACAAATTGGGGAATAAATTACGTTAAAACATTATCTTCAAGAATTTTGACAGCAATTAAAAACAAAAGATATTAGGTATCTAAATACCTAATGACATTCTATTAACTTGAACTGAATTGGAAAAAAGTACAAGGGATGAAAGCTTGTTAGAACAGACCCTGATTGAAGGCCATCTCACTACACTTGGCCATTTAGGTTGGTGAGACTATTTAACCTATAGTTGAAAATTTTGAATTCCAAGCTGTCCTTTTCCTAGATCGGTTGCCACCCAAAGATATCGGATCCAGTCTCTCCTACTATTAGCTGGTGGGTAAGAGATATATTCATACCTTTACCAAAGGTATTTGCCTAGAAGTCAATGTAAAAAACTTGATTGGAATTTGAACTCAGCTGTACTCCATTACTCCACCATGCCTCCTAGTGAAACTAGAAATAATTTGTTTTGCTTTTATTTAACTTAATCCTTCAAAAAATAAAGTATAATTATATTTTAGTCAATTATCTATTTTGTTACCATTTATGGCAACTCTTTGATAATTTTGAGCAGAATTCTGCAGGTTTTGTTGGGAACTCTTTCAATTAACTTTTGAATCTGGTTTTCATTAGTGAACAACCCCCAAGTATTTTGCAGTGATCATTAATGATAACCAGTTTGTGCAAGGGTCAGGTGAATATAGCAGATGGGGTAGAACAGGTGAACATAGTTCCAAAATTATTCCCTATTTTATTTCGAATGTATTAGGCTTCGAATTCTCAGAGAGGAGAACATTTTTGTTTTAGCCCACTGTGTACACTGCTGCTGATGTGAAAATCTAAGGAATGTTAAATGTATTCCAAATTCATTTTTGACTGTCATGAATGAAAAGTAGTTAGGATGATACCTTCATTATTACAATTGTTTCCCCAATCCCTGACAAATTGATCATTGAGATTCAAACTCTGGTCTCAAGACCAGAAAACAAATATTCTAACCATACACCCATATACCGAGTGTAACATCAAAATTGTCCAAATCGTGTAACAGTAAGATTGTCGAATTGTTAGATCAAGCTTTGAACTGTTCTTAGAAATGATTAAAGATATCTTACTGAAATTCTCAGAGGTTTTTATAACACTATTGGACTCTACTTTGAACAAGAATGTATTTAGCTTTAAGCTGAAATGATGATCCTTTTCCTGATGTGACCTCCTGATCCAGTTTTCCTCTCTTATGTTTCATCTTTTTTAAACTTATTCAATGTTCTCTTGATGGTTCTTGAGACTTTGAAGATGGAAGCCATAGTATGAATGTTGGCACCATT